CATCTCACTCGACAAGCTAACTTACTGGTCAGAGCATCTGCTCCCTGGTGGTCAGTGCACATCATAGCGAGTGGTTGAGTGGCCTTAGCATATCATTAGCATATTACACTTTGATTGGTTGAACAGGTGACCAGACACTTAGCATATTAGGCTTTTATTATATAGGATATAAAGTTAGGAAACTACTTATTTGCTACTATAAGTAAGATGTTTTGCTTTTACATTTCAATTCACTGAAGCCAGAATTAATGTCTGAAATGACTCATTATAGCCCTCTGGCACTTAATATGTACACTCACAGACCTGACAGAGTCTAGCAGTGTATGTCTTATTAAAATTTTACCTATAAAAAATAAAGTAAAAGATTACCTCTAGTTATTTACAATCATCATTGATAAGTATAGTATCATTTAATGTATCAATAGAAAAAATCCATCAAAAATAGAAGTATTTCAGGAATGTTCTTTGGGGACGGGGCAGGGGGGGGGGGATTAATCCAATAATATTTTTTCCTTACAGAGCAATTTTTTATTTATTTGAATTTATATTTGGTAACATTGTCTCACATTTGGATAACTCTGGGACTTTATTTTCCAGATGATCTCTAGAATATTACACGTTTTATTTTCTCCCCTAGGAATGCCCAGAAAGAGGATCGTGTTCCAGTACTTGAGGAGTACAGGGAGTACAAGAAAATTAAAGCCAAGCTTAGGCTTCTTGAAGTTCTTATCAGCAAGCAAGATTCTTCAAAATCCATATAAAAATGCTTGAAACATCATAAAATCAGTTGTATTCCCTAAAACTATCATCGTGTGTACTTGGCTGGTACTTTTTGTCAGGCACTCAGAATCTCATTTTGTAATTTGGTTGTGGTGCCACTAGAGAAATGATGGGGGGAGGGTAAGTAGACCCTCTCTAGGGAGCACAATGTTCCATATTAACCACAGACTGTTCTCTCTACCTTTAACAAATATCCCGTTTTCTTCATTGTTTTGTACTACAGATACATCCTATTAGAAAAGACTAGTATTTTATCCTTTCAACCTCAAGGACTTTGGAAGTACAAGCTTTTTGTTACTACCAACTTCATTGTTTTTTCATTACGGAAGAAAATTAAGAGGAAAATCTTCACATTGAATTCTTTGGTTGCCTTTTTCTTACACAATGACTGAAAATTTGAAAGAAAAGCATATAGATGTGCACATATGCTCCATGTTCTATGTTTTCTTCGAAAACTAAAATCAACTGAAATTTCAAGTCCTACTGTGGAACACATTTCTGTTTAATTCCCAAAATAACACTTTTTCACAGGTAGTATGTTAACAAAATTTTGCAATTCAGTGGTCACACAGCTCCTGGATCAAGATAAGAGAGGTTAGACCAAAAAGTGACCTTGCTTATTCGTATAGTGAAAACACACAGAACTGAATCATACCACATGCTGCCTATGGGACTTAAATTACTATTTGTTTTCTCAGCTACTGTTCATCAACTGGTGATGATGTGATTTGTCTGGATCAGATCCTCCATTTTTTCTCCCCACTGACCTCCAGATAATATGAGTAAAGAGCCATGTCAGTATGTAGGAACTCGGATGGTACTCAGATTTGTGTGTTCAATTAAATGGGCCGAAATTAGCAAAAGAATCATTATGCCTGAAGTAAATCTGTTCTTAACAAGGGCTATACCACTGCATTTTTACATGTACCTTCAGGAGGTTGCATCCTTTTTTTCTCTTAATCAGCAAAATCCATAAAGAAAACATCTTTTAAAGGGATCACTTTTTGCTCAATCACATGGTGTTTAAAGCGCTGGTCACAAGATATGTAGTGGTGTGCCCCTTGTTATATACTCTAAGCATATCTTGTTTTCTTTGGCTTTGCATGGCTTTTTCTTTGGGTACTCATGAGGTATCATTCTGCTAATCATTTTCACAGAATGGTGACTTTATTTGTGTTAACAATGTAACTGTCATTAATAGCATATTCCGGTCAGGCTCAATCTAAGTGTTCAATTTTTTTCCGGTGCTTTTTTGGAATGATGAGTGTCTTACTTTGATTGTGCCCATGTTTTGCATGTAATGACTCATGCTTGGTTTTCTTAACTAGTTAATATTAACAATTTGTTCCATACAAAAATGGACTTTTGCAACATCCTTTAATAAGATGAGGGAAGCATGAACCTCAGTCTTCTGGCACTATTGCATAGTAAGCCCATGAAGTAGCTTGATAATAAGTAGTATTTCTAGTGCTTCATATTTCACCTGTGTGTGCAATGCCTTTTTTGCAGGGAGGGAATATTCATTGGTAGTGAACATGTAGTTAAGGAGTACAGCACTAAATCCTGCCCTTTGCATGTCTTTTCTTTTGATGCAGCTAGGTCATTCATAATGTATACCTAGAAAAATGAAATTGAGAATGCCAAAAGATCACTTTGATTTGAATCCATCATGCAGTGTGCATTTAGTTAATTTCTATCACTCTCCAGGCAGGAGTATATCCAAACATTTAATGTGCACTGTATATTGTTTTATATGAATGTTTTATTTTATATACCACATGCAAAAATGTCCATATGCACTATTTAAATGTTTTAAATAATATATTCCTTCTTTGTAATGCTAAATCTATATGAGTACCATATTTTTATAAGTCAGTGGCCTGACTGGTTTCATTTTAAAATTAACAGCTGCTTCATGATATTGGTTATTCACTGTTATTGTTTGGCTGTGAATAGAATAGATAAAAGTGGCATGGCAGCACCAATGCTGTGTGACAATATTGTGTGTCATAGTTGAGCTGTAGGTGGTAGAATAAGGCAGTTTGTGATAGTTTTACTTTGGTATAAGTTAAAACTGAATATCTATATATGAACAATATATAGATATATACATGACTACCCGTATAATTGCATTGCTGTGTCTGGCACTTCATTGTATAGACTTTTGTAATAAAAGAACTTTGATGTTCTGAGTCATTGCAAATGTTGTTTGCTTCTCCCCACCTCCACCCCCACTAGATGTTGAAAAGTGAAAAAGAGAGACCTCAAGTGTTCCCTTGTCTTAATGTTCTGAGGCTTTGAATTACCCTAACCCGGTATCATATGGGGGGACAACAGGGTTAGTAAACTATCTGGCTGGCTACAGCTCTGGGAAGTGGTAAAATAGGGAAAGGCCATGTTGTTGATTCCCTTGTGGGAATGTAGGGAGAAGATGCAGAGAGAATAGTAAGCATTTCTTGTTGCAGTGAATTATCTATTAAGAAAATGTGGTGAGCTTGGCCCGAGGAATGTGGGTAGATTTAAAATGTCCTTTATTCAGATTTAAAATCCAGGGACTTTTCAGCAGCAATGTGGAAGTTGAGTACTATGGTCAAATGCTGTTGCTTGGGCTAAGAGAACAAAAGGTTTTTCTAGGAGGGTTTATGTAACTTGAAAAAAAAAAATTAGAAGAGTTTCCTAAATGCCAGCCACACATAACTTTCCAACCATCCAAACAGGGCTTTGGGAGTACCTTCATTTACACTTTACAAACATGGCTTTTAATAACCCCGATACTCCTACTTTGCTCTTTATTTTTTAAAGTGTATTTTGCTTTCTAAAGTAGTTGAGGAAGCACTTTTGGGAAACTTTAGATGTTGCTATAGAAACCGTTTAAATGAGTTTCTAGTTTGAAGGTATTAGTGAAATTTCTGTAAGTGGTTAGAAAGTTTATTCTTTAACACTTTAGCTTTTTATAGGAGACTTCAAATTGGAAGAATGGAGATGAGAGATTATTTTACTTGAGCCATTGTGTGATGGCTTTACAGAGTCCTATGCGTTTATTATCTGGTTCATGGTACATGATTAGAGCACCAGGGGTTTTTACAGTCCGTGGAACATTGAAAAATCATCATAAAAAAAAAAAAGTAAAATCATCTTTACCTACTTACTGAGCTATTAATTAGAGACCTGCACCATGAACTGTAAGCAGCATTATTTTGTACTTTTCCCTTCACATTCATAGAATCCTCCTATCTAATAAAAGACAAAAAGGGTAATTAACCGTACCTCCGCTACGCTTCCCATTGGCTAATCAGGGCGACATGCAAATTAACTGCCAACAAAGATGGCAGCCGGCAGCCACACAGCTGAAGCAAGCAGGAGGCTTGCTTGCTCCAGTGATGGAGGAAGTCAAGGTTCCCCACCTGCCGCGGCCCGGCTCTGAGCCCAAAAGCAACAATGTTTCAAGCTAAACCCCAGATACCTGCTTTCAGCAGGCAGCGGCCTCAGAGCTGGGAGCGCCAGTGACGGCAACAATATTCCAATTATAGAAGGTAAATAAATCCCAGAATAAAAAAAAAAGAAAAAAAGGAGAGGCTGGGAGCTTTAGTCGCTGGCCAGCCTGAAAACAGCCCTCAGTCCCTCATCCAGGCTGGCCAGGCACCCCAGTGGGGACCCCCACCCTGAAGGGGGTGTGACCAGCTGCAAACAGCCATCTGCCCCTCACCCAGGCTGGCCAGGCACCCAAGCGGGACCCCCACCCTGATCCGGGACACCCTTCAGGGCAAACCAGCTGGCCCCCACCGGTGCACCAGGCCTCTATC